CCCAAACAAGAAATAAACAGCTATCTTAAGACAACTTATCTATCTGCCTTTCAGAAATCTACATAATAGGGCAGAGAACCAGTAGGGTCATTTCCCAATGAAGTAATGCTTAAGCATTTTAATCTCAAATAACACAAATATACCCATCCCTAAAGACAGAAATTATAATGGTGATTGCCAGGGGTGGTGGAGGGAAGGATGGAAGTTATTGTTGAATAGGTATAAAGTTGCAGTTTTACAAGAAGAAATGGAGAGTTATGGAGATGGATAGTAGTTACGGCTGCACAACAAATATATTTAGTATATTTATATGTAAAGCTCTAGAACAGTGCCTGACAATAAGTACACCATAAATGTTATCTACTTTAATTATATACTTATTTTTATGGAAAGAGGAATCTCAGTTTAGACATCTCATAACAAAAGCTAGTAATATTAAAATTTCAACTTCATCAATGAGCCCAAACACAGAAGAAGTTAAACTTAGTATCTTATTAAGTTGCCTCAGTGTTTATACCATATTATCTTATGCATGAGTCCAATTTTCCATCTGAGTCACTATTAGTTCCTCTTCTGACTCATCACATAGAAAGGTAGACAGTCTGGAATATAATGGGCATACCAAAAAGCATTTCCTAATCTACCTGGATTTATAAGGTTTACTAAGTGAAACTTGTCCTTGTTCAATAAATACGCTGAATAATTAAGACTTAAATGGTGTCACTTGAAAGCTAAATGTTCCTTCAAACTATGGAGTAGGTATTATAACCCCTTTTTACAGAAAAACAACATATCGCATAAATCAAATCAAAGATCCAGATTTCTTCTGATAGTCAAAATTATTTATATTTTGCTGACAGGAGCAGTGATCAAAATTTTGCCAAGCAAGTTACATACTTAAGGGTCGGTACCAATTTTTGAATCCAAAAATTCTAATTTAACATCTATTGAATTTTATACTTTCACTGTTTCCCCATGCAGATATTTAAGTAATTTAAGATAATCTCTAATAAAAAGCTATAGAAAAATCCAGGGAAATAAAGTTAAATGATGAAGGTAGGCTAATTATTAATAGGACCCCATCCCCTAACACACATACGTCCCAAACACAAAAATGTTTAAATACTGCTTTATCACTCAATCATTTCTCAATATGGTCTAGAGTCATTTTAACTTTCTAATTCTGCATTTTCTCCTCTGGAAATGGGGATTAAAAAAGTAATAACTGTAACTACCATATGGGACTGCTGTTGAATATTAATTAAAATAGCACATAAAGCACTTTCGTCAAACACTACAAAGATATTAAGTTTCAACATATTAAATTTTATATTTTTTAAAGGATTTATTTATTTATGTATACAAGAGCTGGGGTACAGGCCAGAGATGTGGGGGGGTGGGCTGAGAGGATCCACCAGAGAGAGCAGGGAACAGAACAGACAGACTGACTGAAATACACTGCTGAGGGGAGCAGCAGACGAGACAGTCGAGGTCTGCCTCACCATGTGGGTTTCTCCATGGACGTCCAGGGATCAAATTCATGCTGCAGAGGCTGCAGATTGCTTCATAGTGTGGTGCTTAACCCCTTGTGCCACCAGAGAGGCCCTAAATTTCATATTTAAATGAAAACTTCAGTGTCATTTGATTTGTACCTATTGGAATATTGTATTTCTATGGTAATCATCTTTATTAATCTATTCAAATGGACTCAAAGGCTACTACTTCACTAGCATTCTGAAAACAAGCACCTAGCTATGTAGGAAGCTTTCTCAACTATCCCCGCCTCCTTGAGGTGGGCACCCTGTATTCAATGGGCTACATTTAACCTTGCTTTTCAAATTTCCTTGTATTACTTGAAGGAGCACCTTGTTGGCAAGACCTATGTCTACTAATTTCTGTATCCCCAACTGCAGCCCAACAGTTCTTAATCCTGACTCACATAGGACTCACATGAGGAGCTTATCAAAATATTAAATCATAAGGGAGTCAGGGACAGAGGGAAAGTAATCAGCTTGGGGGAGCACTTTTTAAAGATCCTCATACCATATAAATGTGCTACCGCAGTTAAGAACTTACTGCACGCCGGTATTTCGCGTATGTATAAAAATATGGGCAAACACATGTGTAAATATATAGGTTCATAAACACGTCTCAGCTCAAAACCCTCATCTGGAATAGCTTCTCTAAGCACAACATCTCTTCTCTTTAAACACATAGTATTTCTAATAAACAATTAGTTAAATTCTGAGTTATGACAGTTTTTAAGATGTTAACTCAGTTTTTAAGGTTTTTATCCCCCTTCTGATCCTTCTTCCTACATCAGTCTTTACTCCTTGAGACTATACACTGCATTGTTCGTCTTACTTCCTCCACAGTGCTCTTGATGTTATGAACAAGGATAATAAGCATCTGACTGATCTAATAAAGTACCCCAAAATTACTGGCAAGAAACGTAACACATCCAAATTTTCCAATTTTGGTTATTACTTCCCCCCAAAAAAAACAGAAAATATAAAAATTTAGAATGATTTTTCATCTCTAAGTATGTGCAAACAACTAAAGTTTATGTCACCAAAGAGCATCTGTGTATTTGTACTTTTTATTACAGTCATCACGAGCCCATCCACCAGTTGCAATTTTTGACCTGCTTCCTTGCCAACACCACCTTGCTTTTGATGTCTTTAGTTGCTATCAGGTACTTTTTTTATAACAATTTTACAATACTGTGTAATTACTAAAATAAGATAATGTCTGAAAATAAGAGAGTCTCACACATTACATATAATACAATTGGAATACTGACAGATTATTTTCTGCTTTCACAATATTTTCATATCTAAGTTTTGTAAAAATTATGACTTTTTAAGAGTGCTAAATTGTATTACACAAATTTCACAACTAACATTCTCAATACTGAAATAAGACAAAATGAGATACAATTCTAAAAAAACAGCAAAGAGATCACTTTTTAAGTTTTCTGTCATGTATTTTACTACTATTAAAATCACCTGAAAAACTTAGGTTATATTTTAAAAGCTGAATATATAGGAGAGCAGGCTCTCGAAAGTATGCCAGACTAATTAGATACTGTGGTAAAACACTTGGGTTCTACAGCATGAAACAGTCATAGTTACTAAAAGAAAGCTGTCCTCAGTTCCCTACTCAATAAAAAGGTTCAAATTCCACAGACAAAAAATGGTACCCTGGGTTGTTTGTTTTTAAGGAAGATTAAATTTAGGAGTTGCCAACACCCAAGTGAAAAACATTCCTGAGTATTAGACTCAATTGTAGTGGGGAGTCATCTACATTCTCAGCACTGTTTCCTTACCCAAAGCAGGAGTATTAACAAAGGATGTTTCTTAGGATCTCACAAGCTACACCATACTTACTTCACCCAGTAAACATTACCCTTGTTAAAAAGCAAAACACTGTACTTGAGAAGTAACAATTTCTAGCAGAAACAGACAGACAATAATGAAGTTCAACATCTGCCAAGAAGTTTCCCAAAATAAGACCCCTGTCAAATGAACAATGAGTAAAAGTTTGAAAATAACAAATTATTTTATTTGGACCATTAGTTACTTTTAAAAATAAATGGAGGAATGCAGTTTTTCCAAAGTCTTGTCTGTAGTTTCCCCTTAATCTTCATATTTTAACTTAAAAAAAAAAAAAACCCTAGAAATTTGATTACTGCCCTTATGAATTCCTTTTAAAGCAATTTAATGAATAACAGATCTTTTGTGCAAGTAGCAAACCACAGAGGACAGTTTTGCTGGCTGATAAAAATCTCTCTGAAATACTCAGAAAAAAATACCAAAGACAAACTCTGATTTTTCAGGTATGGAAATCACACTGACTTCAACTTTGAGGTATGTTTGGTATACACCCTAACTCACTGCAATGCTTTTACTTAGCCCACAACTGAAGTTAATAAATTTTTATTAATTACTTACTAAGTACCAAACTTGAGTAAATTAGAAGGCCAGAAGTTAAAAAAAAATAAATAAAAAGTAAAAGCTAAAAAGTCAGCGATTAAAGATGCAACTACTTTGGGTGAAACAAGGTTGTTGAATCACTTCCCAAAGCTGGCAAGCTACTATTACAGTAACCAAAACTTGTTTAGGATTGTTTGTTTAGTTGAGGGTGAAGAGAGGTGGGGTTATATATCAACTAAAAATTTTTCTCCGGTCACTCTGATGGGAAGATGCTGCTGCCTGCAGAAATGTTTTGAGACTGTTCAAAATTACCAAAAAAGAAAGAAACCCAACCTACCACAAATGTTTTCCAGAATATTCAAGAGCCAAATCTCAGCAAAAAAAGGCTTGTGGGCTGCTACAGCATTCTTATTGTCCTTAGTATCACTCAGTGAGAGAGAGAGAGAGAGACACAGAGAGAGAGTGAGTGAGTGAGTGTGTGTGTGTGTGTGTGTTGGGGGTGCTCTATTTCAAAAAGCTGGGTTATATACAGATGAAAATATGAAACATATACATATAGGGCATATACTCTTTTGGATATACTCAGGTTCACTGGAAGATAAAGCTGTCTTGGGGAGTGCCAAGGACACGTTTTCTTTACAGGTGTTATTAAACACTGTTAAGAGAGGAGATAAACAATCTGATAACTTGAGATGCACACGTGGGAAAGTAAACAGAAGGCGTCGTTATCGCCATTAATCAATTTCTCTAACTGATCAAGCCACAAACAAGGCCAGGTGGGCAAGATGTCTTTCCCCCACGGCAAGAAAGGATCCTGGGCCTGAGACTTTAGCCAGGAAGCCTGAAAAGCACGTGTCCTCCTTTGGATTTGGGGAACTTCCCAGAAGCATTTGTTCCGAGGAAAACGCATCACCCTCCGCCTGCCTAACTCCATGAAGAGTAGTACGAGCTGGAAACCGGGGTATGGGGCGGGGGAGTCCCTGGACCCCGGAGATCCTGGGAGCTCCCAGGAAAAGAGACACTGGGCTGGGGGCAGCCCAGCCAGGTGGGCCCCGCCCGGCTCACCTCGGCCGCGGGGATGTTGACCACGCCGGTGGAGCGCCTCTTCTCCCGCAGCTTCCTCTTCTCGATCTGCCCCTTCCCCTTCCTGGCGCTGGGGCCTGAGCTCTTGCCCTTCTCCGGGGCGCCGTCCGGCTCCTCCTCGTCACCCCGGGCCGGCTGCGTCCCCGACGAGGAGGACGAGGAGGCGGCGCCCGCGCCGGCGGCGGGTTCGTCCTCCGTCCGCCGCGGGCCGGGGGCGCCCCGGGTCGGCGCCGCGGAGCCCCCGACGCAGTTCACGCCCCCGGGGCCGGGGGCGGCAGGTGCGGCCGCGCCGGGGAGGTTGTTGTTAAGCTCGCCCGGGGCGCCCGAGGTGGGCAGCGCCCCCGCCGGGGGCTTCCCGGCCGCGTCGCCGCTGCCCCCGCCGGGAGCGAGCGGCCCCGGGGGGTTCTGCTTGGCGCGCATCTTCTCCCGCTTGGCCTTCCACTCCTCCAGGAAGTCTGTGGTGCTGCCGCCGCCGGCCCGGTAGCCACCGGTCGCCATATTCCCAGCGGGGCTGGCCGGCCCTCACCTCAGGCCGCCCGCCCGGGCGCCGGCCGCCTCTTCCCGCCCGCCGCCGGGAGGGCGCGTGGGAACGACCCCCCAGGGGCGCGCCGGTCTGCGGGGAAACACAAAAGGGGGCGGGAAGGGGAAAACGTCAGGTCGCCGCGCTGCCCTGGGGCTCGCCCCGCCGCGGCCCCTCGGAAGCCCCCGCTCCCCTCCCGAGGCGCGTCCGCCCGTCCCCGCCGGCGAGCGGCCGCCGAGTCCCACCCCGCGGGGTTGCTCGACGCACCTACACGGCGGGCCCGGGCCGCCCCTCGGGGGAGGAGAGACGGACAGTCCCACCCCCGACCCGCTCGCCCCGGCCCCGGCGGGGTCCGCGCCCGCGGCGCTCGGGGGACCCCGGCCGGACCCCGCCACCTGTCGGCCCGTCGCATCTCCCCCCGCCCCCCGCGCCCCGGCCACCTCCGGCCCGGGGGTCCCCGCCACCCACCCCGGGGGTCCGAGCGAGCGCGGCGCGGAGCCCCCGAGAGGGTCCGCGGAAGAGGCGAACGCGGACGGACGCCCGCCGTCCCGGGAGCCGCGAGGGGCGGGCGCGCGCGGGGGTGCGGGCGGCCCTTACCTGGGACGGGCCGGGGAGGACGCGAGCGCGCGGCCAGGTGAGCCCGAGCGGCCGCGCAGAACCAACCGCTGCACGCTCGCGGGCCGGGCCGGGGCTCTCCCGGGCCAGGAGGGAAGGAAAGAGGGAGGGAGCGAGCGAGGGGCGGGAGGGCAGCCGAGCGGCGCCGAAGCGCGGGCGGAAAGGGCCGAGACGGCGCTCGAGGGGCGCGGCGCGCGGGGTGGGGGGGTCGTGCCCGCCGACGCCCCGCCCCCGGCGCTCAGGTGCGCGGCGCCGCGTCCAGCCCGTCGCTGCGGCCCGCCCCGCGCCCGCCCGTCCGACTGCGCATTCCTGGGCGCTCAGCCTCCGGCGTCGGGTCGGAGTCGCGGCGCCTCCGCCTCCCGGGCGAGATCGGCCCTCGGCGCCCCTCACCCCGCTCGCCGCTGCGCCTCGCCCCGCGCCCCCCGCTCTTCCTTTTCAGTGCAGGAGCAATTCCTCGGGAGAAAGTCTTCAGGGCTGCCACAGTGGGGAAAAGTGCAATCAGCTTGGGATGATTCAGGGCCTGCGCAGCCAGGAGGAGAGAACACTTGCGAGTCCCTCTCTCCTTATCGCCGCCCCTTGGCATCTGGGGGCCGGGCGGGAGAACGGAAAGATTTGCACCCTGCACCCACCCTCCAGGAAAAGTCTGTGATCTCCTGGTGAAAGGTTGGACGGAGAGGAGGGGCTTAAGTTGTCGGCGAATTATCAAAGTTTTACTAAGATTTTAGGCTTTCAGGGGAGAAAATTAAACTCTCACTTCGATCATGTATTGGCGGCTCCAGTATTCCAGTATTTGGAATTTGCCTCTTAGTCAAATCTCTCCTTCGCTTTATAGATAGCAAAGTTAGCAGCAAAGCTTCCTACCAAAGTGCTACAGCTACATTGGGGCAGATTTGATTGGAACTGAGGCGATGAGAGCTGTTTTTCCATCCTTAACATGCTAGAGGGTCTTTTTTTTTTTTTTTTTCAATGTTAATATTTTCAAGATTTAATATAGAAAAAATATCAGGTCACAGAAATAATTTACAGGTGGTATAAAAATATACAAAGTAATATTAAATATTTATTGGCCTTTTTTGCTGTATATTAAGACTTTTTTAGAGCGGTTTTTATATTCTTAACAAAATTGAGAGGAAAATACAGAGATTTCTTATATACCCCCTGTTGTCACACACACATGTTCTCCCTTTTATCTACAACATACACTACAGTGGTACATTTGTTCCAGTTCATCATAGGTAGGTGCTAGAGAGTCCTAAAGGTTCCCCTCAGATGCAAGAGACCGAAAATTTCTGGATCAGGGAGAGGAGGGCTGCCATTGAAAGGCATCTGAGAGGACACACCTCCCTGTATCTAAGGAACACCAGGGCACCTCATTCTACGATGTCGGGAGCACCATTTTGTAAAAAAGTAGGCGATTATGAGTCACCCAATATAAGTCATCTTACCTAACATAAATCTTTCTTCCTGCTTAGTATTCCCGTTTTGCCCAGGTGGCACATCGTGGGTGGACAGTCAGCCTTTGCCCGCGACAGGAATGAGAACAGGAGAAAGTGATTCACATGCTGTTTATTTCTCAGGAAAAGTCACACAATTGCTTGTCTTGGTCTGGTGTTGGAGGTAAACAATTGGATAATCAGGAAGGCAGGGAGGGATAGAAAAGTAAAGGCCTTACTTAGAAATCAGTTTAAAAACCTGAGCCTACGTGGCACTAACCTGGGTGCACTACCTGAAATACCTCAGTAACAGATTCATTAATTTGTTTTCTAAATTTTAAAGGTGGAGTTGGATAATGAGGGCTGGGCATGAAATAGATTTACATCAAATTCTTTGTAACTTATCAGCGGGTCATCTCAGAGGAATATTGTCTGCCTATGTACAAATACATTAACTAGCTGAGAGATTTTATATATGCCCTTTAAATTCTTTCAAATGACTATTTACTATAAAATCAGCCATCAGGACATGTATTTTTAAGCTGTTACATAAATTGGCAAGGTGTGCTTGGTTCAAGAAAGGCACTCAGTAGGGCCTTCACCCCAGCACTATCAAGCTATCACAAGCTAACTCAGGCCTGCCAGGGAGCTAACCCACATGGTGCAGCATACCTGTGCTGCCTCCCTTGCTGCTCCCCTCAGCAGTGCATTTCAGTGGATCTGCCTGTTCTGCTCCCCACTCTCTCTGGTGAATTCTCTCACTTCCTGCACCTCACTTACACCCCAGTTCTTGTATGGATAAATAAATCTTTTTTTTAAAGGCACTTAGTAAATATAGTTCCTTTTATTAATAGGATATCAAATTCTTGGGTCTCCTTGAGGGGATAGGATGAGTATAGAGGTGGCAAAAAAAGTTAAGGTACTGAATATACAATATTAACTTGAAAGAATAAACTTTGAATAAACTAGGACAATACTCATGCTGCATAAACTTATCACTGCAGCTTTTAGACCAGTTCTCTCAGTATTAATAAGCTCTGAGTCAGGAATGTTGGCTACTACTGACACGTGTAGCTTTGGGCAAGTTGCTCAACTTTTGTGCCTCTGTTTATGTACGTATAAAATGGGGATAATAATACTTCCTACATTGTGAGAGTGTTGTGAAAGTTCTTGAGATCCTTAGATAAAAGGTAGTACGTGACTAGCAGAGTAGTTATTATTATTCTATAAAATACCCTAGAAACCATGGATGAAAGAGATTATTGAGGTACAAAGCACTATGTATTATTATTGTTATCATTTATTATACCTTTTGTCTTTACCATTCTCAATAGTCCCAAAGATATAATTCAAACAGACTGCTTCCCAGCATTGCAACAAGGTATTTTTCTCAGTCCTAAATTGCAAAATGTTTACATATCATCGATCTTTTGTATAGTGTTCTGATGAAATAATCCTCAGAGGGCTTGATTTCCCAACCACAACACTGTTAACATTTGGGACAGGTTAACTTTTTTTTCAAGGGAGCGTGGTACATGTGTGATGTTTAGCAGTATCCATGGCGTCTATTAGATAACAGTATCTGACCCCAATCCCAGTTGTGACTTTGCTAAATGTTCCCTAAGGGACAAAATCTTACCCAGTTGAGAGCCTGAGCAAGTCTAACAACTAATTTTGTGACCAGCTTGTCCTTAATAAAGGGAAATGTGATAATGCTAGCAAAACAAATAAAAAGATTCATTTTAATATGTCAGAGTGACTTATTCTAAATATTAAATCTTACTTAATGTTTTCCAGGCAGAGGATTAACTATGGTATGAAATAACAGGATATTTGTTGAAATAATAGTATATTGAGAAATAGTCATTTTGCCTTCAATGCAAATATTTATGGAGCACATGCAACTTACCCTCTAAAATCAAAATAATACATGTACATAGTTTTAAAAGTTACTTTTATTCTGTAAGGATTATAACAAAAAAAAACAGTCCTCTACTTATCTTTCCCAAAATCCTACTCAAAACTTGGAATTATTTTAACTATCTTTTAATACAGATCTGCTAATATAGATGTAATGTCCTGATCCTACCTTTAGATGTTTCCATTTTTAGACGTCCTGTGTTGACATTCGGAGTCATGAATATTGGCTAATACTGAGAAGGTACAATTGTATCACAATTTTTATTGAATGAACATATGATATTTATACTGTTATAAGTATGCAAATAGTACTCACAGTGTACTATGATAACATTTTTTGTTTCTTTTATAACTTTATTTCTTCTTGCACACCTATTTTGTTTTCCACAGATAAAACTTGCATTTCTTTTTTAATCGGTGACTTATTTTTCTGTATTCCAGTCACAAATTTTACCCAGCTTTCCTCCCCTCTATGCAGTCAGGTAATCTATCAATTCTATTTTCACTTTTTCATGCAGCCTCTCAGAGCCTTCTATCCCCTCTCTAGTCTGGGTTGATTTTAAGGCTTTTTACTCAATGGTAATTCTAGATTATGCTTCCCTAACAACCTAGGAATCATTTCCTATGCAGACTCCTTATTTCCTGAATTCCATATTCTCTTTTTATTTTTCCCCACAATTTAGTGGAGTACATCCTCAGACACATTCTGGGGATAAGATAATACATTCTTGAAGCTCTTGTATGTTGGAAAACTTTCTTAATATATCCCACATTTGATTAATAGTGTGATTAATCTAGAGCTGTAGATTGGAAATCATTTCCTTCATAATTTTGAAGACATCATCATATCATCTGCTAGTTTCCAGAACTGCTAATGGATAGCACATTAGCATGCTGATTCCTTTGTATTTTCTCTCTGGAAAGCTTGAATCTTCTTACCAGATCTTCTGAATCATCTTGAAGATTGTCATTTTCATTCTGTTATTAGGCACTCACTGGACCCTTTTAATGTACTATTTGCCCTTCAGTTGGGAAATTTCCTTATCCTA